TTAAATATCTCCTTTTTTTTTATTAAATAAAAAATAAATTTCTAAAATTTAGTTATAAATATTATTTTAAAAATAGAAGTCTTGTGTATTGAGTTATTCCTTTTTAATCATGAATAGTTATAAATTAGTCATTTAAGACACCTTAATTCATAATAATTTTATCATTTTAAATTTTTTTAAAATAAAACAAAATTTAATAGAATTGAACAATTTTAATTATATTATATATTATTTCATAAGAAAATTTATATTTATTTAATTAAATATTATTTTTTTAATAAGTTGTTATTCAAATAAATTAATTTAGGATGGAATATTAATAATTTTTGTAAAGTAATGATCAAATAAAATAAATAAAATTCATTTTTCTATAAAGAAAATATATTAAAATTAAATGTATACAAAAATAGGTGTTGTATTTCATCATTAAACACAAAATAATATAAATAAAACAGAACATTAAAAACGTGATAAGGTAATTACAGAATTGCCATTAATGAAAGCATGGTGTTTTCTGTGTGTTTTGCTGTTTGAAAAAAAAATCAATCGTTAATTAATTCAATGATGATTAACATTGAATTTAGTAGAAAAAATTATAATTCAATTTTCACAACTGTAATCGAAAATGATTAAAATTATTTGATGTAAAATTAACCCCGAATCAAACTATACTAGTGGTGATAAAAAAAATGAAAACTAAAAAGTAGAACAAAAAAGTTTTTAAAAACTGTTTTTCAAAAGAAGCAACCCAAGCATGTTTTCACTTTTTAAATTTTTAGAAACAAAAAAGAAAAAGTTTTAAAAACTAATTCAAACAGGCCCTAGATATCCTAGATATCCAAGTTGATAACAACATCTCTTATTTTCTGCCAACTTTTTATTTAATTTATGCCCCTCTCAATACATTAATCACACATAATGTTAAAGTGTTCAAAAGTGTTTTTCAAAATATATATTACAATTAAAAATAATCAAATCCATAGAATAATGAATCCTACAAATTATCTTTGTCTCGCACGTCCCGGCCACACATGCCCAGACCGCACACCTCGCGCGCTTGGCAGGGGCTAAAAGCTCCGAAAGATATGAATCACCCGCCTCGCGCATCCTCTTGCACGCCTTGCACGTGTGATAGTAGCGAAATTCAGTTTTAGTGCTGAAAAAATGAATTGAATTTTTCAAGACATTGTCCACAATGTAAATCAATTAAATTCTTTTATAATTTTATCTTTAAAAGTGCCCGTTTAATAATTATCTCAAACAAATAAAAACTTAGTCTATTAGTTCAGGTAAATTAGCGTATTTTTATTTTTAGTTTTTAATTTTTTTTTCTTGAAAATAATTCTGAATATTAAAATTATTTAAATTTTAGTCTTTAAAGTTAAAATTAGTAGAAAATTTATAAATTTTAAATTGGTAGAAAATCTATAAATTTTAAATCCGCAAAAATATTCGCAGCAAAACTACAGATTTTTTTACGAATTTTAATTTTAAAGACTAAAAACAAAAAGATTTTAAACTCATAAACTATTTAAAAAAAATAGATTAGATACTAAAAACAAAAGCACCTTAGCTTACATGGATCGATAAACTTTTTAAACCATTATAGGAAATGCTGACAGGCACTCAACGTTAGTGGCGATGTGAGGCTAGATTTGATCTTCCCACCTCCTATATGGCAACCAATCTTTATTATATTATCATAAAATTCCCTTATAAATGTCATCATAAAATCTAAGCATATTATAGATGAAGTAGAGAGAAAAGACCCAAGTGTGGCATAGTAGTAAAGTCAAAGATGACAAGCTCTACTTTACTTGCAATTCTCAAACTCTTGATTATTTTCATATGCGCAGGTTGGATTTCCCTTTGGATTCTGAAGCCAACTCAAGTTTGGACAAGAGTATGGAAACATGCAGAACAAAGTGCCAATAATACAATTTTTGGATACTATGGTACACCCCAAATATCTCTCTTTTACATGTCACTTTTTCAGCCAAATGCTAAATAGAAGATCTTTTGCAGGTCTAAACTTTGGTGTTTATACATTTCCTATAATTGCTATTGCAGTAATTGGACTTCTTTTCTTGGATTTGAAAGCTGGATCTCAAAGAACCAGGTAGTGAAAATAGTAATATCATTATCAATACTTGAATTAAAGTTTCATTTCACTTCAAAATTGATTTCCTTGAAACTATAATCTGCAGAAGTGCAAGGAGTTCATCAACAGTGTTCTCAAATCCACTTGTGGTGAATAGTATATTTGGAATCTTAACCAGTGTTGAAATACTGGTAGTTTTCCTTGTTATAGTCTTCTTGGCATGGACTTATTATGCTCGAATTTCTAACGATTTCAATAAGTTGATGCAAGACAAATCACTCAAACTGAACTTGTAAGTGTTGTTTTTGGATCTAGCATTCTTCATTTGTTATATTTTCACTGAATGCATGCATCATAATTTTGCTTTCAGATGGCAACTTAAGTATCTCAGAATAGCAACAAGGTTTGGTTTGTTAGCAGAAGCTTGTTTGGCTTTGCTTCTTCTTCCGATTTTAAGAGGATTGTCTCTATTTCGCATATTTGGTATTCAATTCGAAGCTTCAGTTAGGTATCATACATGGATCGGAACTGCAATGATACTTTTTGCTACAATACATGGTGGCAGCACTTTGTTTGTTTGGGGTGTCAGCCACCATATCCAACATGAGGTGAAGCCTTTTCTAAAGTTCTCTTCGTAAGTTTATAAAAATAATCTGAAATAATATATTTTTGATAACAGATTTGGAAGTGGCAAAAGACGGGACGAATATACCTTGCTGGGGAGATTGCACTTGTTATCGGGCTAGTTATCTTCGTTACTTCACTTCCACAAATTAGAAGAAGAAAGTTTGAGATTTTCTACTACACACATCATTTGTATATACTCTTTCTAGTATTTTTCTTGTTTCATGCTGGAGATAAGCACTTCTATATGGTGTTTCCAGGAGTTTTTCTTTTTAGCCTCGACAAACTGCTCCGTATAATTCAATCAAGCCCGAAAACTTGCATAGTTTCAGCTAGATTTTTTCCCTGTGAAGCTCTGGAGTTAATTCTCCCCAAAGATCCAAGTATTTAATCTTTCCACCTATCTGAAATTGAATTATATTCAAAATTTTCATAGTAAACAATTTGGTTTCGACTATTTGCAGGGCTAAAGTATAACCCTACAAGTGTTGTATATATGAAGATACCAACTATATCGCATCTTCAATGGCATTCGTTCAGTATAATATCGAGTTCCAAAGCCGATGAAAACATTATGTCTGTGATGATTAAATGTCAAGGATGGTGGACTAATACTCTTCATGATTTGATACAAACTGAACTAAACAAAGGTGCTGATAAAAGAAAGGGCATACCTGTTGCAGTTGAAGGACCTTATGGACCTGCTTCATTAGACTTTTTAAAGTAAACATAACATTACACAAGATGCTTTGAAATTTCTAATAGACTTTTTTATAAAATTATTCGAAATAACGGAAAAATTTGTCTGCAGACATGACAGTGTACTTATGGTTGCCGGAGGAAGTGGAATAACACCATTTCTGAGCGTTTTGGCCGAGATTGATTCAACCACCAACAAAAATGATTTTCCTTCAAAGATCCAACTTGTACATGTCATAAAGAGGGCACAAGATGTTTGTCTGTTACATTCGATCACGCATTTGCTACTCAACCAAGCAAGCCAAAAGTTTCATTTGAAACTGAAATTGTTTGTTACACAAGAAACGCAGCTAGACCTGGGAATTACGGAGCTGCTAAACGAGTTCGTGAAAGTGAAAACCATGAAATTGGACAGTGTGAGCTCAAAATATTATGCAGCATATGGACTTGAAAGTCCAGTTTGGATGGCTGCTATCACTGGATTTTGTTCCCTCACTTTCCTTATTTTTCTAATCTGTTTCAACCATACTGTAATTCCATCCAGAAAAAAGTCCAAATTGTTGAAAGAAAAAACTCCCTCTTGGATTGTGGATTTACTTCTGATAGCTGCTTTTGTCGTAGCTTTATCTTGCTGCGCATTGATAGCAATTGTGTTGAGATGGAGAAGGTTGAAGAAAGGGATCCCGCCGATGTCGCAGAATGAAATCAAACCCTTTGATCAAAGTTCAGCTGAAATTAAAAGTGATCTTGAAGAACATGAAGTTCATTTTGGAGGAAGGCCTAACTTTAAAGGTAGCTAGTTGTCAAATTTATTTCTAAAAATATTATATTGACTGAAAAATTGACAAATTTAGTACATTACATTTGAGTTGAACAGATATATTAGGCAACTTCAAGAATGAAACACGTGGATCTAATGTTGGAGTTTTGGTTTGTGGACCTGAGAGCATGAAGGAATCAGTGGCTGCCGCGTGTCAGCAGGAATCTGAGTGTTTCAAGTTAGGTGTAAAGAAAGCAAAACCATGCTTCACTTTGCACTCTCTCAACTTCACTCTTTAGTACTCTAAATTTGGCTTCATTCTCAAGTTTTCAGTTTCCCATAGTTATGTAGTTCCATAGTTATGTAGTTCAATAAGAAGCCATGGATTTCAATAAGCTTTCTGAGTAGCCACTTGTAGAATCATCTATATTTTACATGTAGTCATTACTCACCAGAGCACCCTTTTTCAAAAAATGTAGTTGTGATGTCTAGCATCTCACAAATAAGTTCGCTTTAGAAAACAGTCATCCATAAAGGAAGAATAATGATCTATCTATTTGCCATTATTCATGTATACACATACATTATACGTATTCATTAATCCAAATAAGGATAATGAAAGATGATGGAAAGCAACTAAATCACATACTCATCATATACAAGCACCAACTTTACCAACATAATCAGTGTACCTAAGGACTTTATTGAAAGTGGAAATAATCTAACCCTATACAGGAAACTTGCCCATTATCAAAACACAATCCAAAAAAAATCCAATCACAAAATTCCAATTATATGATGCAGTGAAGTCACTAGTCAAATAGGAGAAGAGGAATGCAAAGGGGCCTCTTCAGTCGATTCCCTGCCGCCAACACCACTATTGTCATCGCCGTGAGCCAAATCGGACAAAACTTTCCTGGGCACCTCTGCCACATCCTCCCCAAGAAGAAACGCAACAACCTCCTTCATGGTGGGCCTCCTATTTGGCTCAGGATGACAACAAGCCAACCCAAGCTTCAAAACCATCTCCATATCATCCACATCATACTCACCCTTAATCCTAGAATCAGCAGCTTCAACCACACACCCTCCTGCATACAACTCCCGAACCCAATCAACAAGCACAATTTCCTCTACCACCACATTCGTCTCCAAAGGCCTCCTCCCACAAGCCACCTCCAACAATACCACCCCAAAACTATACACATCGCTCGCAGAAGTTGGGGACGCAGCTGTTGCAGCTTCTGGCGCCAAATACCCCAATGTTCCCACCACACGTGTCGTATTTGGAACTTGCCCGTGTTGGTAAAGCTTAGCCAAACCAAAATCTCCCAATCTGCCCCTCATATCATCATCCAACAAAATGTTACCAGACTTAACATCCCTATGAATAACAACTTGATCCCAACCATGATGAAGATAGTTAAGCCCCTCAGCAACATCAACAAGAATCCTACGACGCTGATCCCATCCCAGAATTTGCGCAGGTTTATCAAAAATCCATTTGTTTAAGCTTCCATTAGGCATGTAATCATAAACCAACATAAGTTCATTACCCTTTCTACACCAACCACGCATTTGTACTAAATTCTTATGCTGAAGCCTTCCCATACTTGAAATTTCCGCCATGAATTCTTTTAACCCTTGTTTAGAATCATGTTTAACACGTTTAACCGCAACCAATGTTTTGTTCATCAGAGTCCCTTTGTAAACACTTCCAAACCCTCCATAACCTATAACCTTTTGAAAACCCTTTGTTGCTACGCTTAGTTCCTCGTAAGAGAATCTATGCGGCCAATATTCCATTTCCCAATCTTCAATGTCATCTTCATCTTCTTCTTTTCTTTTGTTTCTTCGCCACCGAAAACATAATATAAACACACTCGCACAACTAAAAGCAAAAACAAAACAACCAACTGCAATCCCTGCAATCGCTTTGCCGGAAAGTGAAGCCCGCGATTTTCGCTTAAACACCGGTAAATTCGCTGTGTTTAACTCCCTTGCAGTTCCCGAATCACTGAAGCTCCATGCGATAACTCTCTGCGCTTCAATCCAATTCGTTTCCGAAGCTGAGAAACCAACGAACATTTCAGGAGAAATATAATTAGCTATTTCTGGATCTGTATACGAAAGCGTTGGTTTGGAAGGTCGTGAAACACCGATCGGAGCAACTGTAACGTTTATCTCCAGATTCTTGCCGTCGAAATCGATCCAAGCTCGAATGTTTTCGCCGCTGTTCATTTGGACGGGTACGAAGCTTCCGGTGGAGTTGTAGTATCCGGCAGGTGTTTGGTCTTTGGACAAGATGCTATTGAGATCAATTCCGATGTGGTTGTTATTCTCGTCGTTGAACTCAGGGTTTTGACCGGTATCGAATTCGATGACGAGAAGAGGGAAAACGGTGGAGGTTTTAGCGGTTGAGAATAAACCGAAGTATTGGCTAGATAATGCGCCGGGAGGGGAGGTTGTGTTGCATAGGACAAAAGCGAGACCGAAGCCGGGGCTATTGGGGTTATCTGGTAAGATGGAGAAGATGAATGAAGTGGAGAAGGAAGTGATGTTTGAAGAATTGGAAGATGGTTTCATGGGGAGTTTGGTGGGGTAGAAAACTCTTCCGAAAGAGAATTTGTTGTTGTCGTTGGTCATTCGGATGACGGGGGATTCGAAGCGGGCGTCGTTGATGAGAGTGAGGTTGGCGGTGGTGTTGAAGGAGTTGAAGATGAAATCGAAGGCGAGAGTGGAGGGGATAAGTAGGGGGAGGAGGAGGAGGAGAAAGTAGAGTAAGAGGAACGGTGGGGTATCCGTATCCATGCCGGAGTTGGTAGCCCGCGAGTGACGGGGAGTGACAGGATGAGTTAGTGTTACATGAGTTGGTGTGGATAATTTAGATTTGTTTGGAATAAGTCAATAATAAGTTAATGGATTGGTTTGAAAGGGTTCCTTGACTATTCAATTAGAGTGTGTCAGGAAGGAAGCTTGACTTCTCAGATGGAAAGCTTTTTTTTTTTTTAAGAAAACAAGGTAAAAAAAATGTGGTTTATTGATATTATATGCTTTTGTTTATGGACACTTGCTTAGTCATTTGAGTATATTTTTCAGGTTTGTTGATGTTGTTATGACCATTCCCAAAGGAACTTTGTTCCCCATGTGTGGTATAAATATGGCGTTCAACCGTAAACTGTTCCCCATGATATTCTTTTTATTCTCTAATCACCATTCATTTTGATTACAGATTTGATATTTCAAGCCAATGCATGAAATGTGGAAAGACTATATAATGTTGTTGCTTAAATCCATTGGGTATTGTTTTTGTATCTTTGCTCTGGATGAATTCACAACTTCTAATCTTGAGTTTTTTACCACTTTTCTTCTCTCATGGCTTTTATGACAACAAATCTGTCTATTATTAAGAATTCTGTTGCGTAGATGTTGAATTATTTAATCAAAGATGTTATGATGATGGTTCATCTGATGTTTTAAAGGTGTTATATATTCACGATGAATGCAATGAATTTTGATAGAAGAATTTGTGGCATCCCGATTCATTTGCATGAATGATTTTTATAACTCTGATTTATTTATATAATTTACCGGGGTAGAATTGGGGTGTTACACCTCGCTTAAACAAAAAATAGTCATGCGCTACGACTCCAAGGTGATACGTCGAGAGTTCGAGGTCGGTAGCCTTGTCTTGAAGAGAAATCACAAAGAATCTCGCGAGGGCAAGCTCGCAGCGAACTGGGAAGGTCCTTATTGCGTCTACGCCAAAACGGGAACCAGAGTGTATTACTTGGGGAACTTACAAGGGGAGCAACTCGTTCGATCATGGAACGCTGAAAAACTAAAACAATACTACAGTTAAAAATACTGAGCAGTCGGCAGGTTCGGTCGATAAGATAGACTCACCTGAGCCCGACCACGCGTGCACGCCTAGACACAAGCGTAGCACCCAAAGTATTCAAAAGGGGTGAGGCTCAGCTATGCTGACGAGCATACCCTCAGCCCGACGTGGATAAATCGATCGAGCTCCACAGTCTTTGTGCCACGACGGTAGAACGCCCGACTCGCGATGGGAAGTTCACGCCGCCGAACCCGGGTCCCTCGAAACGAGACCTGGATCCCGGCCCTCGCCCGATATACACCCTGGCAGTTTGATCGGTTTCCCCACACCGACGAACATATAAAACGAGCATATCCCTAATACAAAATCTTTGCAAAATATAAAATTCCTAATCGGGCTAACTTGTTGACGATCGTGCAAATAACACAAATTAAATACTCAAAGCGAAACGACCAATGGCCGAAAAATAAATAAAGCGACCACTGGGAACGAAATTGTTTGAATATTACATAAATGGGCAACAGTCCGGGAAATAACAAATATTATAAAAACGGCACACAGGCCGAAACAAATACACAATCACCCCTCTGCTTCTCCTTCGACGATAGGCAACAATCGAGCAGGATCCCCAGCCAGTTGATCGATAATATCCCTCAGGTAGTCGGGAACCAGAATCTGTCTGTCAGCCACGTAGTAGTTGACCCCCATGCCCGAAGTATTGAGCTCAACACCGAGATTTAACACACGCATCTGATTCATCGCATTGTCGAAGCTCCCCTCAGAAGCGGCCCGAGCATCGTCCACGGCAAGCTGGAAACGGGCTACTAACTCGGCCCGAGTCTTCAGGTCCTTGGTATCCTCTGGCTCGTCCTTAGCGGGCGCAAGCTTGGCAGTCAAGACCGCCACTTTCCCCTCGAGACTCTCGCTCTTGAGCATAAGAGTGTTGCGCTCCTCAGATAACTTCCCCGACTCTGCCTCAACCAACTTTAGGGCTTTGTCTTTATCGACCAAGGCCTTCTCGGTCGCCACCAACTTGACCCGGAGATTCTTATTTTCCATCTCCTGGGATAAACTCCCCTCGGTGTACGCGACATCCATCTCCAAGATCCGCATCAAACCACTCGCGTCTTAGGCCAGCGTCGCCCTCTTTTCTGGACGGCTCGTTCCCTCGAGAAGGAGAGATTCAGCCCTAGGAAGACGAAGAGCCACGCTCTCGAAAAAAGACCTCTCCATCCAGAAAGGAGGCAAATCATAAGTCATTTTTCCCCTCTCCCCAATAAGTTCAACGCTCCCCTCGGGTCGAGGCCTCTTCGCCTTCGAGGAAACTGCAAATGGAGACAGAGCAGTTGTGGTCAGAGTCGAGAATGATCCACCTGGTCCAGGAGCAGGAACTGGCGCCGCGCTAGTATGTGCATCCTTCTTGGCCTTTCTCGTCCGAGCAGCAAGTGTCTTAGCCAGACGTTCCTGAGCAGGATTCATATTTTCTGTAAAACAAATAAAAAAAGAGAAGAGTCAGTAAAACAACGGGTCAAACAAACGACGACCACATACCGGAAAAGAAAATATATACCCAGATATCTTAAAGGATCCTCGCTTCCGAGGAGCTCCCTGACGTTTATGAGACCCGACTCGAACACGGGCTCCCCGTTTCTATCCAGCACTAGCCTACCTCCCCGATCGACTCGTTGGACCGGAGGAATTCGAGCTACAAATGAGGTCAGAGTGGCGAAGCTCGACAGGTCCTTGTCCCCAAGCTCCCCCTCTCTCCAGACATAGGACCCCAACTCCTTCTCGAAATGTCTGCTGGTCCATTAAAACGGGAACTTGGCGACCAGTGTCGTGGTAGGCTCCCCCAGCTCATTTATACGAGGAGTCACGTCCCCTTTGAGCGACGGATGGCTCCTAAAAACGTTCAGCATTGCCTTCGTCGAGGTGGGCTGCACCAAGACATACTTGTCTTTGAAGTGGCGCACGGGCTCCAAGTAGGCCTTGAACAACTTCCCGTTGCCCTGTTTGAGGGAGACCCATCCCCACCTTCCGTCAGTCCTGCTCCTCTGGATGTGAAACAATAGAAAAACAACGGGATCATGGCCCCTATCTTCAGATAGTTGCACACTATCTGGAACGCCCGCACGAATGCAATCCCATTCGGATGCAACTGGGAGAAAAAGGAAGGCGGAAACCCATCTCCCGGAAGACTATATCGTACATCGGAATCCGCCTCCTATCATATCTCGAGCAGATCCTGCTATCCTTCCCGGGAATATACAACGACCACTCCTCTCGGGCCCCCTCCTCATGGGTGTAAACATCGGTGAAAACGTCCTCCCCGTGCTCATAAAAATATGACTGCCACTCCCAAGGGTCTTTCGCTACCCAATCTCGAGGATCCTCGTCATCTCGAGGAGGAAACAGGCCGCCCCGAGCCGAAGAGGTTGCCCCCATGTCGGGCTCCCCCATCTGTTGATCCGTCTGATTTTGCTGATCCCCGAAGATTTTCAATATGATCAACGAGCTACCACTAGTCTCACTCGAAGAGCTCCTGGAGGATTCTGTAGACTCGCTTGAAATGATAACTTGTGCGTCGTCATCCATAGCACCTAAAAAGCAGAGGAAAAGGATGAGCTCGACATCAATTCCAAAATCACCCTTCCACCGCTAAACAAGTGAAAGGGTGCTGACAGAAGAGGATCGTATCCCCGACCAGAACCCTCACTAAGGTACGCTGACGGGCACAAAACGCAGGAGAAAGTCCTAATCCCTCACTAAGGCACACTAACGGGTTGGAATCGCAGAAAAATCCCAAAAATCCTCTGAGGTATTCTAACGGGAACAAATTGCATAAAATATCAAACCCTAACGAATCACCTATAACACGTCGCCAAGCCCCCGAGGAAGTCCCGTGGTGGCTCTAGCAGCCATGTGCCACAGGAATAACGTCCACCACCTAGAGTCTCTAACAACCTCCTCCCTAACGGAACCCTAAATCATAACCGCATGCATGTCTAAAAGGCAAAAAACAAAAACACTAAGACATGCAACAATGGAGGAACGAAAACTCACCAATAGAAGAAGAAGAGATGAAGTTGGATGATTGCGAACGAAGAAATTGAGCAAATGTTGGTGGTCGACTGTCGAACTAATACGAGAAGTTGAAGGAGAAGGCGAAAAATACTAATCGCCATGTTCCTCTCGTATTTATAGCTGAAACAGCCCGCGCGTACCAAACACGCACCTTAGTAACCCCCGAGTTGTCATTATGACACCCTAGGCCATCATTTGCACCGCTCGACCGACACGTTTCCCAAAACATGCTACCTCTCCAAATTCAAAAGTCCCAACAGCAAACGTTTCGCCTCCCCGACAGAGAAGTATAACGGTAAAATGCTCATTTCCCTGTCCCTCGAGCAGACATCAAAGTCCTCACTCCTGTGCCCAAAAGCAACGACTTGGGGGGATACTGTTCTGGACTGGCCAGAAAGCTTGAGTAGGCCCAGTCTAAGACATCTCATAGGTGCCACCCGCTGACCGTGACCCGGAATGCCCGCACCTATCGGGCAATGTCACCCTCTTGCCCTTCTGGTCCAGCATCGATCAAAGATACCCGTTGAGCGTATTCTTAGCCCGTCCGACACCAGCGTCGTACAGACCACCAGGGACCGACCAGAGAGATGCCCACAACCAACCTCCTCCCCGAAACCAACGACTAGTTACGAGCACATCTGCCCGGTTTGACCAAGCCCTGGCAGTTACCTGATTTTCTGAACCCGCATATCTAGGTGGGAAATCAGGAACCAATGGCCATGCGCCAGGGGAATTATATAAACCCTCACACTTGTGAGGACCAGGTATCACATATTCACTACTCACTACCTGATATTTTGCTAGTACCTTCTTACTCCCACTCTTACTTGATCGTTGGAGTACCTTGCAGGTACAACCCCCTCTCTCCTCAGTTCGACTGAAGATC